GCTCTACCACTGAGCCACACCCCAGCCCCTCACTGGGGGATTCTAGGCAGGGGCTCTACCACTGAGCCACACCCCAGCCCCTCACTGGGGGATTCTAGGCAGGGGCTCTACCACTGAGCCACACCCCAGCCCCTCACTGGGGGAATCCAGGCAGGTGCTCCGCCACTGAGCCACACCCCAGCCCCTCACTGGGGGATTCTAGGCAGGTGTTCCACCACTGAACCACACCCCAGCCCCTCACTGGGGGATTCTAGGCAGGAGCTCTACAACTGAGCCACATTTCCAGCCCCTCACTGGGGATTCTAGGCAGGAGCTCTACTATCGGGCTACACTCATAGCATTTGTGTGTGTGTGTGTGTGTGTGTGTGTGTGTGTGTGTGTGTGTGTGTGTAGTGTGGGTAGACACACTGGTTAAGTGTTTTGTCACAAGTTGTCATCTGGGAAGTGGGAAGCTCTCTTGAGGTTCCATCAGAATGGGTTGTAAGAAAGTCTATGGGGCATTTTCTTTATTAATGGTAGATGTGAGAAGACTCAGCCCGCTGTGGGCAGTGCCATCCCTGGACAGGTGGCCCTGGATTGTATAAGAAAGCAAAATGAGCAAGCTGATAAGCAGTGCTCCTCCAGGGCCTCTACTTGAGTTCCTGCCCTGACTTCCCTCAGTGATGGACTGTGACCTGTAAGTGTAAGGGAAATAAACCCTTTGCTCCCCCACCCTGCTTTTGGTCATAGTGATTATCACAGTAATAGGAAGCAAACTAGAGCTGGGCGGTGGTGGCGCACACCCTTAGTCCCAGTACTCAGGAGGCAGAGGCAGGTGGGTCTCTGAGTTCTTCGAAGCCAGCCTGGGCTACAGAGTGAGTTCCAGGACAGCCAGGGCTACACAGAGAAACCCTGTCTCGAAAAAGAAAGAAAGAAAAAAAAAAGGAAGAAAAGAAAACTAGAAACACACACACACACACACACACACACACACACACACACACACACACACACACAGTTTTTGTAGCAGGGTGTCCCTATGTTGCTGACTGGGTCATGCATGCCCTGCATCCTGCCGATGCAGCCTTAGACTTGAGCTCCTCCTGTCTGAGCTCCTGAGTAGCTGAGGTGACCAGAGTGAGGTGACGTGCCCCACCACACCCAGGTGGAATTGCTCAATCTTAAAACATGACCAAACAATTCTGCTTTCAAACTCAGTGCAGACCATTCAAGCCCCGGAGCTGCCAGTTTCCTCCTTGTTCATCGATGATGACACTGCCTCCAGGAAGCCCTCCTTCCCAGCCTCAGTCAGCTCAGCTTTCTGCTCCCCCTCCCTTGTACCGGGCTCCCCACTGCTCACAGGGTCCTCACTATCTTCTCCTCCCTGTCCCTCTCTCTGCCTCCTATTTTTCTTTTCTTTTCTTTTCTCTTCTGGTTTTTCAAGACAGGGTTTCTCTGTGTAGTTTTAGTGCCTGTCCTGGATCTCGCTCTGTAGCCCAGGTTGGCCTCGAACTCACAGAGATCTGCCTGGCTCTGCCTCCCGGGTGCTGGGATTAAAGGTGCGTGCCACCGCTGCCCGGTGCGTCCTATTTTTCTAACAATATCACCATCTACCCAGAACTCCAAGCTAAAAATAACAGGAATACTGGCTTCTTCGTGTCCCCATATTCCTTCCTCTCCTTCATCCCACACCCCATGTTGCCTCAGAGGGCAGGAAGCACCTGCGTAGTTGGGATCCGGGTCCTCTGCCTCATCGGGACTGTCAAGGGGCTCCAGGTAGGATGCGGGGACCCAGCCTCTCTTTGTCTTCATCTGGCAAAACCACCAGCCTATGTCAAGGGCACAGAGAGGTAAGTGAGGGGTGGTGCCTGGCAGCCTCCTTCAGCCACGAGGGTGGTGAGGACACAGAGAAGGGAATACCGAATGCTCGTCCTGTCCCCAGACTCCACCCCCAAATCCCACCCCATCAGCATGAGCTCAGAGCCCTTTGCAAGGAGCAGGTAGGACAGTACCCCTAGACGCAATCCAAGCATGGGATAGGCCTGAGCTGGAGGCCAAAGGCTGCTAGAGCCCCTGCATGGAATTCAAGGCTCTGTCACCCCAGGACCAGGGGCGGGGGGTTGGGGGGAGCCTGACCGCTCTGGCTTTTCTCCACCACGTCCACCACGTCTCCAGTGGCCACCGTCATCTCCGTGCGGGAACTCTTCTCATAGTCAGCGATGGCGCGGTAGGTTTGAAGGATGATAGGGCCTGTGATGTCTGCACAGAGCGGGGACAGGCAGGGTGAGTGGACCCAGCACGGAGGGCAGTCCCCGTTCCGGAATATTATTTTAACAAATTACGTTTGTTCATGCTGCAGAATATTACTTTTAACTGTGTAAAGGTGCGTTACGTCGGTTTATGCTGCATTGGTTTAATGAGGTAGGGATGTGTGTTTAATGATGTAAAGATGCGTTGCATCTGTCTCACCGTGCCTGCCTAAGGCTTTTGATTGGTCTAATAAAGAGCTGACCGGCCAATAGCTAGGCAGGAGAGGGACAGGCGGGGCTGGCAGGGACAGAAAATGAATAGGAGAAATCTAGGCTCGAGAAGAAGAGAAGGAGGAGGAGAAGATGAGGGACACTCCTCTCACCAGCTACGTTACTCTTGGCATCTTTGGGCATCAGGTACGTCTCTGGCTTCTTCACCCTGGAGAGAGAACAGGCAATATGGAGCAGGCCCTCAGCTTCCCACTGGGGAAGGGAAGGCTTCAGTTAGAGCTGCAGGAGGACTTCCCAGAATCAAAAGGAACCACGGGAAAGATGGTCAGCACAGAGAAAAGGCCTCCACGGGCCCGGCCCTGGGAGCTGGGGGTGGGACACAGACTGTCTTAGGAATGAGGGGTTGTCTACACAGCCAGACTTAGAAACGGGGGGGGGGGGCATAGAGGAAACACAGCCCACTGCAGACCCAAGGGAGGTGGCAAAGGCCTTCTCCACCAGCTAGATAGAGATGCTTGGCCTGGGAGGGGCCCCCATCAGCTCTCAGGGAGGGGCCCTCCTAGGGCCTCCAGCAAACCCCACGGTGACGTGAGTCTATGTAGATGCAGCACTGGCCAGGTCCCAGGTTTAGAGCATTGTGTGCCTGTGGGTCAGTCCCTCATCCTCTCCAAACTTGGGTCTCCCCGCCCTCTGTATTCCGTTCTCCTGTCCCCTCCCCAGGGAGGTGGCTACTCACTGGCTGTCCGTGGGCAGCTTCAGGTCATCAGGCCGCACTTTGAAGAAGTCCAGCAGGTGTGGGCAGCGGGAGATCTTCACGGGCAGTCCCATGAGGGCGTTGAAGTACTCTGTGAGCGTGCCCTGGCGGCTCTCGGCAGCACGCTGCCCATCAAACCATTTGGGTGCTGGGTAGGGGCACCAGAGACCCATGAGTATACACGCAAGGTCAAGTCCAAATGTATATGGGAAGGGGTTTCGGGGAGCAGGCGAGGGGCCTTGGGGAGGGGGACCCTACTGAGGGGCTCAGTTCTGCTCACCCGGGAGGTGTGGGATGACCCTGTTTTCCCTGTGGATCTCGCCAGCCTCGATGGGGAACATCTCCTTCAGCATTTTCTAGATAGAGGAAGAAATCCTGAGCTGGGGCTCCGTGGCAGAGTGCTTACCAAGCATGCTTGAAGTCTTGGGTTCCACCCTGAGCATTGCATAAGCTGGGTATGGGGGTGCATTCCTGTCACCCCAGCACTCCGGAAGTGAGGCAGGAGGATCAGTTCAAAGTCATCCTTGATTGTGTAGTGAGTTTGAGGCCAGCCTAAGATACGTGAGAAAAAAAAAGGGGGGGGGGTACTCCAAAAGATCTAAGTTGGAGCCATTCAAAACACTCACTGGGAAGGGAAACCATCGGTTCCACGCATGCTGCCTTCTGCTTCACATACATCTTCCCCCATCTCTCTCTCTCTCTCTCTCTCTCTCTCTCTCTCTCTCTCTCTCTCTCTCTCTCTCTGATTGTTTATTATGTATAGTATTCTGCCTGCATGTACACCTGCAGGCCAGAAGAGGGCGCCAGATCCCATTACAGGTGGTTGTGAGCCACCATGTGGTTGCTGGGAATTGAACTTGGGACCTCTGAAAGAGCAGCCAGTGCTCTTAACCGCTGAGCCATCTCTCCAGCCCCCGCCCCCCAATCTCTCTTACTTTGTTTACATTGTTCACAGTGCCACCTGTGGACACTCCAGGCTAATCGTGCCCCAGTGCCTTTGCATATGAAATATTACTTGTCTCTTTTGTCTGTCTGTCTGTACTTGTCTCATTTGTTTATGTATTTATTTTTCGAGACAAACAGCCCTGGCTGTCCCGGAACTCACTCTATAGATCAGGCTGGCCTTGAACTCACAGAGATCTCCCTGCCTCTGCCTCCCGAGTGCTGGGATTAAAGGCGTGCGCCACCACCTCTCGGCCATTTATTTATTTTGAGACAGGGTCCCACTTTGTAGCCCTGGCTGGCCCTGGAAGTCACTACGTAGACCAGGCTGGCCTCTTTCGATACTCGCTGGGCAAAGGCAGAGCCGCAGTTGAGGGTAGTGCACCCCCAACACTCACATGGAACTCGTAGATCTCGGTGAATTTCCTGTAGACCACCTTCTCCGACAGGTCTTGCCACTTAACCAGGAACATGTACACCTGAGGGGACGTCAGAGCATGGGGAGGGCACTCAGCACCCACGAGTACCACGCTGTGCCCCTGGGCTGCCTTGTAGCCTTGGATGGGAGCCAAAGGGGTTGTGGTGAGGCAGTCTTTGGGGGGTAGCCTGGGTCACAGGATGGGCATGAGCTTCGGTGACTCGGGAGCTTTGAGAAGCAGACCAACCAACGTGGTCAACTTCCGGTGCGTTAGAAAATCCTTTTCATGTTTTCTCAGTGCATGTGTGTGCACACACACACACACACACACACACGGGTGCACATGTACACACGCATGCCATGGGGTGTAGCTGGAGGTCGGAGGACAGCTTGTGGGAGTCCGTTTTCTTCTCCCACCTGCTGGGTCCTGAGGAGTGAGCTCAGATCATCAGACAGGGCGGTAAATACCGCTAGCCATCTCATCAGCTCCTTTCTTTCTGTTTTTCAAGCGCTCTAGCCACAGTCCCCAGCTAGGCTTCGAATGACAGGTGCAGGAAACCTTGTTCCCACTGTGCTAACAGAAGAGGGACCTTTGAGAACAGAGTGGGGAGTGTCTAGGGCTAGAGATCAGAAAAATGGAAAGTGAAAGACAGTACTGCCACCCCCCCCCCCCCCGCAGGGTTCCCAGCACCCACACTGGGACTCACAACCATCTGTAACTCCAGTGCCCGTGTATCTGGCGCCCTCTTCTGGCCTCCATGGGCACTGCACATACCTGATTCACAGACATATATGCAGGTGAAATACACAAAAATAAATTATTTACTAATTTGTGGGGCTTAGTGGGAAGTGTTCAGGTTGTTGGAGACTACATAAGGACAGAGAGACAGGCTGGGCTACAGACAGAGACAGAGAGGGAGAGGCAGAGAGAGAGACAGAGAGAGAGACATAGAATCAGAGAGAGACAGAGGCAGAGACAGAGAGAGGCAGAGACAGAGAGAGGCAGAAACAGAGAGAGGCAGGGACAGACAGGGAGAGGCAGAGAGAGGGAGAGACAGAGGGATAGGCAGAGACAGACAGGGAGAGGCAGAGAGAGAGAGAGACAGACGGAGGCAGAGACAGACAGGGAGAGGCAGAGAGAGAGAGAGACAGACAGACAGACGGAGGCAGAGACAGAGAGAGAGGAGCAGAGAGACAGAGAGATGTCTGCAATCCCAGCATTTGGAAGGTGAAGTGGGAAGTTTGCCCTGAGTTCTGGCTAACCTAAGCTACACTGTGAGCCTCTAAACATACCCTGGTGATTGTCTCTGGGGTGGGGGAGGACTGGAGGATATGAAGGAAACCCCTAGAATGACCGCAATCTTCTCTTTTGGTGTGGCTTTGGTTTCCAGAGTCTCACGCTCATTCTGGAATGACTCAGAATATTTATATTTAGAGAGGGAGGGCAGAAGGGGGAGATGCACTCAGCACATAATGCTTTACATGTCCCCCACAAACACCGCCCAAGAACCAGGTGCCCCTCAGAGGCCCAATGATGAAGTCTATATACACAGGCAGAGATTTCTCCAGCTCGCCTCTCCCAGGGCAAAGGGGACAGTTTCCCTCCCTCCGGGTGATGTCATCTCCTGGGGAGCTAAACTCTGTGGCCAGCATCGTAGAAGACAGACAGCCGGCTACAGTCTACAAGCCTCTCCTTGCCGGGCCTCTCCCTGGGAGGAGCGAGCCTCGCTCCTAATCACTGGACACGGGGTGGTGGCGCTTGAGCATGGATCAGGGCTCAGTATGGGGACAGAGAGGGAAGCCATTGAGAGGGGTGCACAGGAATGTCTGCCCAGAATGGCAGAGTCCTGGATAAGAAGCCTGAGGCCCAGAGACAAGAACCTGGTGCCCGAGAAGTACCCCCTTATATCCATGCCGGAGCGGTCTCACACCCCTTATATCCTCCCCTGGCGCCCCACCCCCCCATCCCCTCCCCTGGTCCAGGTTGCCTTTGGATAGCACCAGGATGACAGCATCATCCCCACCGAGGGCTCCACTCAGCGCTACTCACATAGTGTTGGCTGGGAATGAAGCGCTTCTCGAAGCCCAGGAGGGCGATGTGGCGGATGAAAGTGTCCCCCATGGCTGGGCAGTGGCAGGGGCCACTTCTCCCTATAGCCGGCGTTGCTGAGCCTTAAATACACTGAAAAGAGGAAGTGGTTTCTGTTGCTTGTGGGGTGGGGGCGGGGAGTGCCCGGACACTCTTGCTCAGTCTTTCACTTTCTGGGGATTGCTGGACCTCCCACGGCGTGGCTGGGGCAGCCGGAGTGGCTGGGGCACCCGGGGGGCACTAAGGTACTGGGGGTAAGGCCTATCCCCCAGCCCCGGGCACGTGGGCCTCTCTGCAGTTCTGAACCACCCCAGGACCTTTGCACCCGCCCTGCCCCCTTTTCCTGTCCTGGGCTCCTGTGTATATCTCTCCGCCTCAAGCTCGCTAAGTGTCTACTCAGATGTTTCCCCTTCCGGAGGCCTTTGAATAACCTCACCCAAAACAGCAAGTCCGCCAGGCACGGAGATACACTGTAATCACAGCACTCGGGAAGCTGAGGCAGGAGAATCCGGAGTTAGTTAGAGGCCAGTTTCAGCTGGGCTACACGAGATTGTCTTAAAAAATACCACGGCACTGGGGACATGGCTCAGCTGGTTAAGTCCTTGGCATACAAGCCTGAGGACCTGAGTGTTTTTTGTTTTTGTTTTTCTGAATTTGTTTTGTTTTTTCAAGACAGGGTTTCTCTGTGTAGCCCTGGCTGTCCTGAAACTTGCTCTGTAGATTAGGCTGGCCTCGAACTCAGAGATCCTCCTGCCTCTGTGGTAGGTACATCACCACCACCCAGAGAGGACCAGGGCTCACCTTAAAGAAAAGCTGGGTATGGTAGCGTGGGCTTTCCAAGTTCTGTTTGTTATTAGTTTTAAATGTGTGTGTGTGTGTGTGTGTGTGTGTGTGTGTGTGTGTGTGTGTGTGTGTGTGTTACGTGAGGGCAGGTTTCTGCGGAGGTCAGAGGCACTGGACCCATTGGAGATGGAGTTACACGGACATGGATGCTCACATGGAACCCAGCTCCTCGGCAAGAGAGGAATTCTTAGCCACAGAGCCCTCTCTCTGGCCTGGTGTGTGCCTTGGATCCCAGCACCTTGGGGAAGGCAGAGTCAGGAGGGATCCTGGGACTCACTGGCCAGTCAGGCCAGCCTTCCAGGTGAGGTTTCAGTTTTAGACCCTGTCTCAGAATCCAAGGGGCCTCCCGAGAAACGACGTCTGCACACACACATGTGGACACCCACACAAACACCCTCGGAGGTGAAATGCCACCACCTGACCACATAATGGTCCCCCAGAGTTTTTCTCCTCAGGCAGCTGTTTGGAAGGGGACTTGAGATGAAGAGGAGGAGATGGGAGCCAGGCATGGTGGCAAGTGTGGAGCCCACCCCATGGAAGAGAGACCACGGCAAAGCCAACCCAGGTCAGCAGGCTTCAGAGCCTCACCCTGAGCTGACTCGACAAAGAGATTTCCTGGGAGGAGTGAGCCTGGATCCGGGGCACTGGTGGGGGCTCTCAGTCGGGAGGGACTCAGCGTGTAGACAGGGAAGCAGCTGGGCAGAGTATACAGGGATGTCTCCCCAGTGTGGCAGGGGCAGGATCTGAGGGTTCCAGGCCAGCCAGATATATATATATATATATATATATATATATATATATATATATATATATATATATATATAGTGAGACCCTGCTTTTAAAGCGGCAAGGATTGAGGGGTGGTACCTACTCTATACTGGGTGGTTCAGAGGCTACCGGGTCACCCGGGTCACCCGTGGCCTTCTGTCTGCAGCCCAGCTGGCCAATGCTGGGCCTCCTCCTCATCGTGACTCTGCCTGGGACTCAGAGCAAGTGGGTAGGGCCAGGTTGTAATGCAGTCTGGGGATTCCAGGATTGCACGCATGCTGCCTCTGAGCCATGTCCCCAGCCTGTCTGGGGGTGGGGGTAGGGGGTGGGGTGATTCAAAAGCAAAGGGCTCTACCACCGAGTGACATCACCAACCTTTCTTGTCATTCGGAGATTAAGCTACCCAGGTTAGCCTGGAGCTCTTTTTTTTTTTTTTGGATTTTTTGAGACAGGGTTTCTCTGTGTAGCTTTGGACCTTTCCTGGAACTCACTTGGTAGCCCAGGCTGACCTCGAACTCACAGAGATCCGCCTGGCTCTGCCTCCCGAGTGCTGGGATTAAAGGCATGCGCCACCACCACCCGGCTTAGCCTCGAACTCTTAATCTTGCCGTCTCCATCTCCAGATGAGTGGGGGACCTGTGTTACCACACCCAGCACCAATGGCGAGTTTTAGTACAGTCAGAAGCCGAGGAGGATAAGGGGTAGATTTCAAGTGGCTGGCACACTGGCCAGCTCTCCTCACATGCTAACTCCCTTTGGCCACTGAACTCTGGGACACACTCATCTCTGGCCCAGACTCCGTAGTCGGGAAAGTCCAGCAAAAACACCAGGCCTGCTGTGCACCTGGGCCTGGAGGGAGCGGGCTGTGGAAAGTTCCTGCTGGGGACCTGTGGCGGGCTAACCATCCTATCACGTCCCGAGGCACTTCCTTCTTGTCTAGTGGGTGCTTGCATAACAGAGACAGTGGCCTGACCAGTGGCCCGAGGCCACACACAGCCCTCTTCCCACTGCCCTCCTGAGACCTCACCCTGTTCTCTGGTGGCCCCTTGCAAAGAGTGATTTTTTTCAAAGCATTTGACCTGTTTGTTTGTTTGTTTTTGTTTTTCGAGACAAGGTTTGTCTGTGTCGCTTTGTGCCTTTCCACCACCTGGCAAGCATTTGACCTTGTAATAACCTCTATAAGCAGGGCCAATGGTTCTTTTTTGTCATAACAAGATATTCATTTTAATGCATGTGAACTATTTATTTCATCTCTTGGTCTTTGGAGATGGTCTCATGTAGCCCAGGCTAGCCTTCAACTTGAACTCCAGATCATTCTATCTCCTCCTCCCTCCTGAATGTGGGATTAGCAAGTGTTTGCCACCCTCTCTGGCTTTTATATTTTTGAAATTACATTTATTTGGCAAGGCTCGGGTCATGCGCACCAGGATGCATGTGTGGTGGTCAGAGGACAATTTACAGGAGTTATCCTTCTAACACGTGGGGCCTGGGGATTAATACCTTTACCCGCTGGGCCATCTCCCAGGCCCTAAAAGAGTGAAGTGAGGATGGGGAGTGTAGCTCAGTTGAAAAGAATGTGCCTAACATGTACCAGGTCATAGGTTCAAAACCTCCTCCTGAGATGACTCAGTGGCTCTTGTCCCAGACATCTACATGGCTGCTTAGCCACATTGTAAACTCTAGAGGACTAGACACCCTTTTCTGACTTCCATGGGCATATAAACATAGAGAAAGAGAGAGAGAGAGAGACAGGGACAGGAACAAAGTATTAAATATAAGACAAAAAACTTCTAAAAAAGTAAAAAATAAATAAATAAAACTTCCTGCCTCCTCCAAAATACGGAGAACAGGTAAAGGAAGTCATGGATAAAAGATATTTTAGAGGGGAAACCATTTTAATTAATTTATTTTTATGTGCATTGGTGTTTTGCTTGCATGTATGTCTGTGTGAGGGTGTCAGATCTTGGAGTTACAGACAGTTGTGAGCTGCCATGTGGGTGCTGGGAATTGAACCCGGGTTCAATTCTAGAAGAGCAGTCAGTGCTCTTAACCACTGAGCCATTTCTTGAGCCCAGGAAACATTTTTTTAAATGTTTGTGATATATATATAGTGAGATATATAGAAAAGTGCTAGCTAGCCCTTAGTTTAACTTAACCCATTTGTATTATACTCATTTGTATTATAAAGCCATGACTATTTTAAAAAATATTTTAGTGTATGAGTGATTCCAGGCATGTCTGTACTCTGTGTGTATGCCTGCTGCATTGGATCTCCTGGAACTGGGGTTGTAAAAAGTTCTGAGCAGCCATGTGGGTGCCAGAACCAAACCCAGGTCCTCCACCAAAGCAGCCGATGCTCTCAGCCCTGAGCTATCTCGCCAGTCCAAAGCCATAACTATTCCAGACAGCCATTAGCCACCACTGTGACATTGTACTGGCGACTTTTCTCATGGCTGTGATAAGGCAACTGGAGAGAGGATGATGTTCTTTGTTTTGTTTTAGTACAGTCCATCACAGCAGGGAAGTCACAGCCACAGGAGCGAGAGGCGGCTGGTCACATGGCATCCACAGTCAGGAAGCAGAGAGAGATGGATGCTGGTGCTCAGTTTACCTTCTCCATTTTATTCAGTCAGAGACCCCAGCCCATGGATTCTGGGGGACTGTTGGAATCTACTAGGTTTCCTAGTGGCTGTACCCAGCAGGACTGCATGGGAGGTTGATTGGACCACGGGCCTGGGGACTAGATGACTGTACCTAGCAAGGGGGAGGTCCTTTGCTCCACCCCTTGGCATTGTTATAAACAGACCTTTGGAATAAAGTTCTGGGCCGGTGGGTAAGGATCCAGGCCCACCCGAGGCTATCCTGTGTTTTCTCTCCGTTTCTCTCCCCTCTACTTCCAAGTCTCTTATTCTTCATTCCTGAAGAGTTCCTGGGGTAAATAAATGTGGGGGCTGGTCTCCCACAGGGGATGTCTTTCTGTACGCTGTGAATATATGTTATTCCCATTGGTTGATAAGTAAGCTGCTGGGGTTGGGGATTTAGCTCAGTGGTAGAGTACTTGCCTAGCAAGCGCAAGGCCCTGGGTTCGGTCCTCAGCACCGGAAAAAAAAAAAAAAAAAAAGTAAGCTGCTTTGGCCTATGGCAAGGCAGCTTAGAGGCAGGCAGGAAATCCAAGGAGAGAGACAGGAAAGAGAGGCAGAGTAGAAGAGACGCCAGACTGCCATCCTAGGAGCAACATGTAATGGGATGCAGGTAAAGCCACAGAACATGTGACAATACATAGATTAATAGTTATGGGTTGATTTAAACTATAAGGGCTAGCGAGCAAGAAGCCTGCCATAGGCCATACAGTTTGGAAATGATATTAAGCCTCTGAATGATTATTTGGTAATCGGCTGAGGGACCACGGGGCTGGGCAAGACCTGAGAAAACTTACAGCTACATATGGGATGATGGTGCTGTCCACATTCAGGGTGGGTCTTCCAACCTCAGTTCAACTTTTCTGGAAACAGCCAGTGGTGTATGACCACGGCCACTGTAAATCCAGTCAAGTGGCAGTGAGGATTAGTCTCCTGAGGGTCTGTGTCCGCCCCTCCT